ATCTCTGTGAGTTCAAGGCCAGTCAGAGGGAGGTACATAGAGAGTAGTTGAACATGGTGTTGGGGAATGAACCCAGGGTCTCACTCATGCTGAGCGCTCTTCCAGGTATTTTTGTTTCACACAGAGAAGTCTTGTTTGGAAAGTGTCTAAACTAGCTGACAAGAGTTTCTACCATGTCACACAAAAGAATCGGAGCAGGTGAAAATGCACGGCTTCCATTGGATGCCGCAAATCTAAAGCTGTGAGCATACTGGGACTGAATTATCCCAACATGGATGCCAAGTTTAACCCGTCTTCGTGTGAGCAGGAGGACACTGAAGATTCCTGGGAAATGTTTATAAGCACTGACCTTGGAATTTAAAAGCATTCCAACCTTGGGTTACTTATCAACTCTCCTTAGGGAAAATAAAAGGGTAAGTTACCTCATATACCTGTAACTCAGATATTATCTACAGATTAATCACACTTTGTAGGGTTTTGAGGCTTTAATTTCAAACATTAGTTTGAAGTGCTCCTTATTTCAGGTGAATCACGATATGGTCAATAATGGTGATTATTTTATTCTAAGTTTTATTCAGTTCCAGAGATATGCTTATGAGAAAGCAACATTAATAGGGCTGTATGGGAGCTGGAGAGGTGACCTCAGTAGTTAAGAGCAGTAGGGGATCTTGGGGACCAGGGTCCGGGTCCCAGCACCCACAGGACAGCACGCAACCACTTGTAAACTCCATTTCCAGGGGATTTTCTAGCCTTCTTGAGTACCAGGCCCTCACGGGACACATATATACATACAGACAAAACACTCATATTCATCAAGTCTCAAGAGATTAAAATTAAACAAACAAACAAACTATAGACCGCGTCATGATTCTGTGTGTCATCCCTGCACAGGGATCACAGTGATCTCTTCTGCGTCCTCCCGACTTTAGAGTTTTCTGCAGAAGCTATAGCACTCTTATTGTCCCTTGAAACTTCCCCTTTGATCCTCAGGCCTCCTCATGCCAGGATTATAGGTGTCCACCACCAAGCCTGGCACAACAGTGATTTTTGTTTTGTTGTTGTTTTTTGAAAAACAAACAAAACCATGAGGACAAAATATATTTTCCATCTGGGAACAGCCTGTGGTGGGAGATTCCTGATCCTGAGATGGTAAAAGGAGAAGGCTGTTTGCAGGGGGCGGGGGGGGGGAGGGGGCCACTTCCCACTCTGCTCAGCCAGCATGAAGAAGCCAAGGAGAGAGGTGTCCACATCTGCACAGCTCCTGGGAAGAGAGCAGTGCTGACCCACAGTCCCGTCACTCCCCAGCACAGATGTGGCCACATCTGCAGGGCTGTGCAGCAACCAGGAGGGGGGAGGTCCCGAGGGAGGGGACCTAGTCATCTTAGTAAGCCAGGCCTCCTAAGCACCGCTAGACTATTACAAAGGACAATATCTTGGAAGGAGAATGGAATGTGAGCCACTGGCCAGGGCCAGGACAAGACCCTGGACCCTAGAACAAGCTGGGAAACGATGTCCTTTCCTGCCTCAAGATGATGCAGCTTCCTCTGATACAGTAACATTGGCTCATCAAAAAAAGTGATGGCTGGGGCTGGAGAGATACTCAGCCGTAAGAGCGTGTGTGTCATGCTTGCACGGTGCTCACACACACACCTGTCTCTCCATTTCTGGATGACCTGCTAACCCCTACTGGCCTCTGTGGGCACCAGGCTCGTACGGTGTACACTCGCAAGGGCCTTGTTACAGGGCATGGCTGGCATATCCCACCCTCTACCCTGAACTTCCCAGCCCAGGCCTCTGCATTTCTCTCTCCCTGTGTGTGCGCACACTCTTTCTCTCTCTGTCCCCGCTCGCTCCCTGTCTGCATGCTGACTTTGCTCACACCTCCTGTGAGGTCAGTGAATCCTCCCAAGAGCTGCCTGCAATAAACCTGCCTTTATTCTTTAATCTGGCTTATTTCATCTGGGGAGAAAAACCTATTACAAGTCTCCAAGTCTTTATTGAAGTTAAGATCTGCCGGTAGCTGGCAGATCCCGAGCCCCCACCGTTCATCGGTAAAGCCCCTTCACATGTGTGAACTTGTTTCTCAAGACTTGTCTTTGAGGCAGGCAGCATCAAGGCTGTTACTGGTCCCTGGAGAGGAGGGGCCCAGCATGAAGGACACTCAGAATAGTGTTTAGTTAGCTCTGGAACACACAGGAAGACAGGTGTGGGATGTGGGGAATGAACGGCTGTAAACTCTTCTTCCCCTGTGTACATCTCTGCAGAACCATTTTTTTTTTTTTTTTTTTTTTTTTTTCTTTAAACACAGGTTTTTGTGTAGCCCTGGCTGTCCTGGAACTCACTCTGTAGACCAGGCTGTCTTCAAACTCAGAGATCCACCTGCCTCTGCCTCCCAAGCGCTGGGATTAAAGGCATGTGCTGCTATGCTTGGTTTGCAGAATCGTTTATTAGTCTAGCTCAGGTGTTCCAGAAGCTACTTTCTTCTAGGCCTTGAGAAGGCAGTAGTACAAAGATCTTTTGCCTGGATCACAGTCATCCTGGTTCTGAATTGTGACCCACACCGTTTGCCTTTTTCCTCTCTAGCTAGAGCAGTGACCTCAAGCCAACTTTTATGTTTTGCTCCAGAGACCTGTGGTTTCCATGGTGACCAGTCACTTCCTGGAATGCACTGATCTGTGCCAAGAACACAGCCTGATTTTATATTCTTGAGGTGTACTTGAGAGGCAGACTCAGGCCAAGATTCAGCCAGTTCTGATCTACATTTAAGATGTTTCAAGCATCCCACACAGTTCTTCATGCATGCTACTAGGAGACACACACAGTTTCTTGAGTTAATGAGGTCATGGGCTGCTGGGAACTCAGCTCAGGTCCTGTGTGTGTGCTCCTAGCTGCCAAGCCAACTATCCAATGTGCTCATTTTGTTTTTTTATTTTTATGCATTTGTATTTTGCCTGTGTGCATGTAAATGCACTTCATGCTCACAGAGGCCAGAAGATGGCATCAGGATCCTAGAAACTCAAGTTCAGACATTTGTGAGGTGTCAGCTGCCATGTGGCACTGGGAATTGAACCTGGGTCCTCTGGGTCCTGCTCCCACCCACACAGCTTTTTATTTATCAACAAATGTTAAGTTCTGAGCCATCTCTCCAGCCCCCATGCCCTTTTTACATGGGTGCCGGGGACTTGAGTGGTGTGTGCTAGTGGGGTAGGCGATTCAAGAGCTTGGGTAGACTTGGTTCTCAGGTCAAACTCACTTTCTGCTCACTCATCACCAGTTTTGGCTTTTTCTGATCTGGAATGTCATTCCACAGAGCTTTCTTTCTTTCTTGGTTTTTCAAGACAGGGTTTCTCTGAGTAGTCTTGGCTGTCCTGGACTCTGTAGACCAGGCTGGCCTGGAACTCAGAGTGCTGGGATTACAGATGTGCGCCACTGTTTGCTTCTACAGAGCTGTCAAATCAGCGCCTTCTCATTGTGCTGAGCAACCCCAGCTGGATGCCACCCCTCCTTTACTGAACCTGCACCTCTTACTGAAGCCCTGGCCTTTATATTTTCTCAAGGGCTGAGACAGGAAACAGCTCGAGGCTTCTCTTGCGGCTATGGAGCCCACTACAAAAGGCATTCAAATCCTTCAAGTCACAAAGGCATGGACCTATTGCTCACCAGGTGACCGGGGTGAAGCTATCCAAGCATGGAGAGATGCAGCTGGCCATGCTGGATCTCTGAGGCCAGTCTGGTCTGAACAGTGAGACCTTGTCTGAAGCAAGCAAAAACCAAACCAAATCAGACAAACAAAACAAAACAAAACAAAAAAACTGGGAAAAGCTAGTATTCATCACCAAAGGCTTTGGGAAAGCTTTCCTACAGCAAACCCAGCTTATTCCTCAGGTCTGCTTTCGGCCTCACCTCCTCTCTGGGCCTGTTTATTCCAGGGTGGGTTCAGTGTCTCCTTGTGCACACCAGCCTTTCCCAAAGCACCGGATTGCTAGCTTTAAAATGAAGATGCAGGGCTTGGAAATCTGCTGAGCAGCAGCCATCTGACTTCTGGACCTTGCCAACCTTTGCCGTAAGCTGGACTGACTGCATCAGCAAAGCCCCAGAGTGGGCTGTTCCACTCACTCTCAGCTAGGCTGGCACTTGACACCCTCCTCCATGAACCTGATTCTTCTGGAAATTAATATTGCTAATATGACCCTGGCTAGCCTCAGAATCTGGCCCCCACCTCAGCTGGCACCTCTGATCTACCCACTGCTGCTTACTATTCAAGCATTTCATACTGCAGCCCAAAGGCTCGCACCCCGCCAAACCAGCACAGGAAAACAAAACCCTCATTGTGAGACCACAGCAGCCACTCTTGTCTGAGCCAGACTTTCTGTCCAGTGACAAGACCCATGCTTTTCCAGGGCTGGAGAGGCAGCTGCTCTTTCAGAGGAACTATGTTCAGTTCTGGGCACCCACAATTTGCCTCAAGGGGATCGGATGCCCTCTTCTGGCCTCTGTAGACACTGTAGGTATGTGGCACAAGCAGACATATAGCCTCAAACAAATTTCAAGTTTCCCCAATGAATTTCAAATAGTTTAGGCCTGTGACATGGCACCAACCTCCAAGACTCACAGCTGGGAGAACAGGCACTTGAAGTTGTTCTGACCTCCAGGGAGGCACCATGGCATGTCCCTATTCCAAAGGAAGATGCAATGAATAAAGTAAGGGCTTAGTCCAGATACCAGCCCATAAGGAGTACTCTCAACTGGCCGTTCCTGTAAGACCCTCAGCATATGCTGAGACCAGCTATACATTCACTATTGTTTTGATTCCAGGACACCATTAGGAAACAGAAAAAAAAAACAAAGAACAGAACGAGTTTCTGAAACATAAAAGACCAACTCTAGGTCCACAGACTGTCACAGTGCAAGTAAGCATGTGTGAGGATGGCTGTCCTTACCAGAGCCAAAGACTGCCAAAGCAGAACAAGCCACAGAAAACACCACACAAGACAGAGGACTACTGAAACAGTCTTTAATGACAGCTGTGTGAGAGGCCTCTACTCCTGCATCTTCTCAATGGTTTCTTCCTTGTATTTGCCCTTCTCCTTTCCTACTTGTCGAGACTTGGCTTTCCTCTCCAGGATCTTCTTGCGGTCTTTGTCCAGCTTTAGCCTGGTGATAACCACCTGCAGAAAAAGGAACGGCCCATGTTTTAAGTAGCCACCCAGGCCCAATTCAAGGTCCCATCAGCCATTTCCTCACCAGTGGTGGATGCCTAAACATTACTTCCTAAAAGCCAACAAATGATCCTGTGTTTGGAGCAGAGGCCACCCAGGGACCAATCTCACCAAGCGCTGTACTTAGGACAAAAAGACCAAGCCACTGTGTGTGACCCTTGAAAACTGACCTAGTGGCAGGAGCCAAAGGCAGGCAGATCACCTTGAGTTCCAGGCCAACCTCGTCTACAGAACAGTTAACACTACACAAAGATAACCCACAGCTGGGTTTGTAGCACCCTGTCCTTTAATCCCAGGACAGGGGAGGCAGAGGCAAGCAGAACTCTGAGTTAGGAGCCAGCCTGGTCTACGGAATTACAGGACAGCCCTACACAGAGAAACCTCTGGAAATACCAGAGATCTCAGCTAGACAGCAGCAGGGAACTTTAATCCCAGCACCCAGGAGGCAGACCCGAACACCAGGACTATACAGAGAAACCCTGTGTTGAAAAACCTGAGAGATCTCCAGCTGGGTGGAGAGATGAGCAACAGATCTGTATGTCTTTGACCTCCATGGACACAGCAATGTACTATGTGGTGGAGAAGGAAATCTTTACGTAATTTTAATATTGCCATGTAGGTCCTTTGCCTTTTCTATAGCTTTCTATTACATTTTTACGCTAACACTTTTTTAGTACTAACTACATGCCCCAACACCTGTTATTGGTCACCATGTACAGTGAACAATCCAGGAGAGCGATGCCCTACCCTGGTTTAGTTTGTGGGGCCACAACCCCAGCTTTGCCTTAACCCACTCCGTAAGGGTGTTACAAATGGGCCCACTGCTCACTCAACAGGCTTGAAGCTCTACCCATCTTATAACCACCCCTTCTCGGAGTTTGTTTTTTTTAACACTCCTTACAGAGACAGGGTTTCTCTCTGTAGCGTTGGCTGTTCTGCAGAAACCAGAGGCCTGCCTCTGCCTTCCAAGAGCTGGAATTTTAGGTATGCACTACCTAGCAAGGAAAAAAAGTTATTTCAAGGGCACACTAAGGACACAGATCTCAGAAAAGTCTCAGTGACTCCAAATCTAAAAACTACAGTACTGCCTTAGGATACGGGCCACTGTCAGGGTGTCCTGCAGACAGGCAATCACACCGTCAAAGCCAAGTGTAGTGGTTTCCTTCTCTCAAAGATACCCACCTTGCTGGGGTGGATGCCCACGTGGACTGTTGTGCCGTTGGCCTTTTCCCGCTGTACTCGCTCAATGTAGATGACGTACTTTTTCCTGTACACCTGGACCACTTTGCCAATCTGCTGGCCTTTGTAGTGTCCTCGGACGACCTTAACACAAATTATGAAAACCAAGGCAAGTAAGTTAGAACATCTAAGCTATGCATACACCACTTACTTTGAACAGCTCCATACAGTTGAGGAGACTGGAGTATTACTAGGTCTCAAATCCAGGACTTGTACATACAGGGCAAAACAGAACCCCATACACAGATCAAGCTGTTAGCTGCCAGAACAGTCAGAGTTGAGGCAGGGAACAAAAGGCATACCGCTTTTCAGTTCTTTAATCCAAAGGTAAAGCAACCCTTTCAAACACCAAAAGCAGGCATTGTTTTTTTTTTTTTTAACATTTTTTAAATTTTTTTTATTAATTACACTTTATTCATTTTGTACCCCCCCCATAAGCCCCTCCCTCCTCCCCTCCCGATCCCACCCTCCCTCCCCTTTCTGCATGCATGCCACTCCCGAAGTCCACTGATAGGGGAGGTTCTCCTCTCCTTTCTGATCTTAGTCTATCAGTTCTCATCAGAAGTGGCTGCATTGTCCTCTACCATGGCCTGGTAAGGCTGCTCCCCTCTCAGGGGGAGGTGATCAAAGAGCAGGCCAATCAGATTATGTCAGAGGCAGTCCCTCTTCCCATTACTATGTAACCCACTACTACACTGCCATGGGCTACATCTGTGCAGGAGTTTTAGGTTGGAGTATGAGTAAAAGCAGGCATTATTAAGTGAAAGGCAGGGAATGCATTTGGTCAGTGGAGACAGTGGAGGACTAGTAAAGAGAAGAGTTGAGTTTCCCCTCTGTAACTGGAAAGCTCTATTTAGACCCACCAAGCGGGGACACACACCTGAACTTCATCATCCTTTCGAATGGGCATGGAGCGAACATTATACTTCTGTCTCAGCTCTTTGGAAAGAGGGGAAGACATGATCTTTCTCCGGATGTGAGAAGGCGCGTTGAAGTGCCGCTTGCGGTTTTTGCTTCGGTCAGAGGTCACGAAGGGATTGAACTTCATCTTGGCTGGAAACAAAAACCAAACAAAACCCTAAAGACCCTGGAAAGCCTCAGGTCTCAGCCAGTTCCCCGAACAGCAACAATTTTACTTCGCAGGCACAAAACGTTCCACTGGAAGAGGTCACGCTCAAGTCTATGCTTTTCTTCAGAGTGGAGCCTTAAGCTCCCGCTCCGAAGCATGCGGGCAAATAGACTGTTTTTGGAGCAGTCAGCTGTCGGGGCTCCCCGCTGGAGCCTGGGAGCTAGGGCAGATCTCCAAAGCCTTCCAATTGGTGAGCAGAAGACTCGAGACTGATTAACGCCATCTCCACAGGCCCCGCCGGCCTTCCAGTCCACGAATCTGCTCCCCACCCCTCTCCAGGCCCGCGGTCCCTGCCTAGAAAAGACGCAGGTCAAGCCCATCCCAGCATGGCTTGCGGCTGACATCGGGACAGCAAGCCAGCCTCGCGGCCCCGGGACGGGAAGCCTCACCGCCTAGGTACGGATGGCTGCGGATTACCCGCGGCAGGCCGCCGAACGCTCACCGGCTGCGATCCAGCGATGGCCGCAAAAGGAAAGAGGTCTCCTCGCCACTTCCGGTTCCGTAAGTTGACGCGAGATCTCGCGAGAGTCTCGGGGCGAGAGGGGAGAGGCGGGCGAGCGCCAAGAAATTGGGAGTGGGAGACTAGCGTCACCTACCGGCGCGGAGGGGAACTGCGCGCAGACTAGACGCTAGGCTGAATCCTCTGGGGAAGGCAGTGCCCCCCCGTTTAGGGACCGTAGGCCGGGAAATGGAGAAGATGGAGAGGACCCGGGGGACCCTGCACTCCTGGGCGTCGAGCGCCCCTCTAGCCGGGAAAACGCAAGCCCTACTTTTAGCCGCCAGTGCCTCTGGGACGTGGCCCTCACCACCCCAAAGGCGTGCCTTAGAGGTAGTCCTTTCTACTAGCCCCAGCCATCTGCCTCCACATCTGGGTAGGTTCTGACTGCTCTGGGTCCTTCTCCGGTGAGATCGTCCCCCACCAGGACGATGGAGCTAGATCTTGGCTCCCTCGTGATGCCTTAAAGATCATGCGTAAAGGAACAGACATGGGCCTGGCCTGTAATCCTAGCACTCTGGGCGGATCTCTATGAGTTCGAGGTCAGCCTGGTCAGCTAGGGTTACTACACAGAGAAGCCCTGTATCAAAATGAATGAATGAATGAATGAATGAATGAATGAATGAATGAATGAATGAATAAGAAAGAGAGCGAGATGGGGGCCTCTCAGGGCAGACTGGTGTACCCTTAAAACCACAACTACAAAACGCCTCCCCTGTTACCAGTTACAGATCTGATGAGGCTGGGCAAGGGAGCCCACTTCTGCGAAAGGATTCTGCTGAATGAATAATGTAGGAGTCATGCTGAGCGTCCTGAATGCTCGGCACACTCCTCCACGGCCTTCCCATTAGCCTTCCCATTACTACCGTCTCTAGGCTGACGTGGGCGTGTGGTCCTCACGGATTGGGTAACTGAGCCACACAACAACAGTGAGGGGAGGGAGCAAGGACACACAGGCTGTATCGGAACCCACGAGGCTGACTCCAGTTCCCCTGGGAACTATATGGCTGGTTGACGAGAGTGAGACCAGCCCTCTGAGGGTTCAGACAGACTCTTGTGGTTTCATGATTTTAAAATCGTTGTGCTACGAAATATTCTGTAACGGAAAGAGCCCCAATTTTATGTGTAATTGAAAAATTGAAAGCCGGGCATTGGTGGTGCATGCCCTTAATTCCAGCACTCAGGAGGCAGAGGCAGGTGGATCGCTGTGAGCTTGAGCCAGCTTGGTCCACAAAGCGAGTCCAGGACAGCCAGAGCTACACAGAAAAACCTTGTCTGGGGTGGGGGTGGGGAAGAGAAAGAGAAAAAAGAAAAAGGAAGAAGGCTGGAGAGATGGCTCAGAGGTTAAGAGCACTGGCTGCCCTTCCAAAGATCCTGAGTTCAGTTCTCAGCAACTACATGGTGGCTCACAACCATCTATAGTGAGATCTGGCGCCCTCTTCTGGCGTGCAGGGGTACAAGAAGGCAGACTACTGTATACATAATAAATAAACGTTTTTTAAAGAGAAAGAAATTGAACAAAATCTGCGGCAAATCTATTCAACAAATGCTTATGAAGCATCCTTCATGGGCCAGCCTTGAACACTAGAGTGACAAAATAATTCCAGGTTCATTCTTGCACAACGTCATGGTTCTAAGAGGGGAGATAGAGAAGGGAAGCAACAAGTTCAGGATCTCAGGAAACCTGAGCCTCCTCCTCCTCCTTCTACGCCTTCTTATCCAACTGAAAAGATCCTTCATTTATTTTGGCTTTGAAAGACAAGCTTTCTCTGTGTAGCCCTGTCTGTCCTGGAACTTGATCTGTAGACCAGGCTGGCCTCAAACTCACAGAGATCCACCTGCCTCTGCCTCCCGAGTGCTGGGATTAAAGTCGTGCCCCTCCACCACCACCTGGCTGAAAAAAATCCTTTAAAGTTACCCTCCGGGATCACTCTGAAGCAGGCATTTGTAAAGCCGAGGTGTATCAAAGCCAGGATTTTTTTAAAAATATTTTTAAATCTTTATTTCTATTTTTACATGCATTGGTGTCTTGCCTATGTGTATGTTTGCGTGAGGGTGTCAGGTCTTGGAGTTACAGACAGTTGTGAACTGCCATGTGGGGACTGAACCTGGGCTGTCTGGAAGAGCAGTCCGCGCTCCTAACCGCTGAGCCATGCCTCCAGCCCCGGGATTTTTTTTTTTAATCTGGATTTCACATCTAAATTGAACTATACATGTGTTTCCAGACACTGAGGCATCATATTCATTCATGTTTACATGCCTGCAGGCGTGCAGGCGTGCAGGCGTGCGCGACACAAATTTTCGTGTCGCGCTCACTACTAAACTCTGTGCGTGTGTGCCGTTTTGTAAGTTCCTCCTCTGAAGGAGCACTTTCCCGGAAGGAGATACAAGGCAACAGAGGAGCATGACACGCTATCCCCAGAAATGAGATGGGATATGTGGCTGCGATGTGCACAGAAAACAGAGCAGCAGTCAGTTCAGGTGAGAGGGAGGGCCCTGGGGAAGTCTCTGTCCAGCACCTGTCCACTGTTTCTGGAAAGTCAGTCCAGGGAAGTTGGTTCCAGAATCTGGCCAGATGCGAAGCTTCCTAAGCTTGCCCGGGAAGGGGGGCGGTGGCGGCCACACTGGGGACTGTGTAGCATTACAGGATCCAGGGACAGCGGGAGAGAACAGTGTGTTTCACGTGTTCCTGTGCAGGCGCCTCTGAAGAGAGGGAGAGAAAAGCAGTCCACGACTGGCTTTGCTGTTGTTTGGTAAGGTCTCGCTCTGCAGTCCAGGCCGCTCTGCTCCGGCCTCCCACCTTTGCGCACCGCGTGCCGGGATTCCAGGCATGTGCCACCATGTCCAGTTTTGTGTTCACCCTTCTGCTCATATGCCTGGTCTCTTTCCATTCGCCCAGCTATGTGGCAAATTTGATCTTCCTGTGCTACCTTGGGAAAGGTAGTTGCTTAGATATACAGTTTTAGGAAAAGAAAGGCAAGGTAGAGAAAGCAAACACATTGAATGATGGGCCCCAAAAAAATCCACAAGAATTTTAGGAACACCACCAAGATGAAACATTTTTCTGTGCTTCTTGGTGCCAGTTATGCATGATGATGTCATGTCTCTACACGGGACAGACCAGCCCCACACAGCCAGTAGCTGACGCTCTTGGACCACAGAACCAGTGCTTTGGCTGTTCACAAATGTTCTTTTAAAATTTATTTGTAATTTTAAAATTATTTATTTTGCCTGTAGACATATGTCTATGTAACACGTGCATGCCTGGTGCCTGTGGAGACCAGAAGAGGGCGTCAGGTGCCCTGAGACTGAAGTTCCACATTGCAGATGGGTTGTGAGTTGCCTTTGGGTGCTGGGAGCTAAGTCTTCCGGAAGAGAGCCAGTGCTCTTAACCACGTTGCCATCTCTAGCTACACTTTGAAATTATTATTTTACATGTATTAGTGTTTTGCCTGCATGTATCCGGTGAGCACCTCATTGCATGCCTAGTGTCCATGGAGGCCAGAAGAGGCATCAGATGCTCTGGAACTGGAGTTACAGATGGTTGTGAGCCACCGTGTGGGTCCGGGACTCGAACCCACAATGTGCTGACTAGTCTTACATCAACGTGACACAAAAACTAGAGTTATCTGAAAGGAGGGAACCTTAATGGAGGAAATCCCTGGAGATCAGTGGGGGAGGACCCAGCCCAAGGTGGGTGGTGCCACCCCTGGGCTGGCGGTCCTGGGTTCTGTAAGAACCAGTGAGCAGCACCTCCGTGGCCTCTGCGTCAGCTCCCGCCTCCAGGCCCTGGCCTGTCTGAGACCCTGCACTGTCTGAGACCCTGCCCTGTCTGAGACCCTGTCCCGGCGTCCTTCGGTACTGAACAGCGATGTGGACGTGTGGTCAGAATAGGCCCTTTTCTCCCCGTCGCTTTTTGGCCATGGTGTTTCATTGAGGTGATAGGAACCCCAACAATGACAAACACTAAGTGCCTCAAGTATTCTTGGGGTGGATTCCCATCTGGGCAAGAGGAGTCTACACTAAAAATTATCTTTAGTGTTGACTATTTTTCAATTTCATTTTGTTTACTTTTCTTTCTTTTTGGTGCTGGAAATTGAGCCCACTGTCTTGTCTCTCTCCTGCTGAACGCTTTCTCGAAGCTATTTCCTTTTACAATAAACATTTTCTTGACTTAAAAAGAATATATTATTCCCCGTCCCACACAAATCACAGTGTTCAGGACTCAGTGTTCTGTGCCAGCTCCTTCCCGTTGTTGCTACATCATTGAGTTCTTTTCTGGACCGTGGGCCTTGCACCTCAAGGTTAATGACAGTTGTCTGTTGATTATCATTTAGGGGTTTTCTGATCCTTTGTTATTATAAACACAGCCTCAATTACATAATATTGTGTGTATGTCACCATCCACTTAGACAGCTGCACCAAGAAAACACATTTCTAGAACACAAATTTCTGGGCCAAAGTGGAAACTTTGAGAAGAATATGTGTCCAGTTTTATTTGAAGGCTTTTACAAATATGCATTTCTAGCTGGGTGATAGTGGCACACCCCTTTAATCTCAGCACTCTGGAGGCAGAGGCAGGTGGGTCTCTGTGAGTTCGAGGCCAGCCTGGTCTACACAGTGAGTTCCAGGACAGCCAGGGCTACACAGAGAAACCCTGTTTTGAGCAAAACCAAAACCCAGCAGGAAATGGTGGTGCACACCTGTAATCCCAGCACCCTAGGAGGCAGAGGCAGGTGGATCTCTGTGAGTTCAAGTCCAGCCTGGTCTACAAAGTGGTTCCAGGACAGCCAAGACTACACAGGGAAGCCCTGTCTCAAAAAAAAAAAACAAAAAACCCAAAAACAAAACAACCCCCCAAAATGCATTCCCCCAACAATTCACCTGACACCCCAACCTCACTGGCAGAGCAGGATTTAATAAGTTAACTGGTAAAGGATGCCAGAAATGCTTTGCATTTCTTCTACAAATGAGTCTCTTGGGCTTTGGGATCTGTGTATTCAGTCTGGAGAATCACTTTAAGAGTATATAAAGATTTATATACTGCAAGATTTCTGGACTCTTTGAGAAAATATATACTTTTATTTTAAAAATGGCTTTCGACCTTTCTACAAGTTTCAGCTGAGCACTATGAAAACATCACAGGTGTTTTTGGAGTGCCTCAGCAAACACAACAGCATCTGAAAGGCCTGGAATCAACTCCCCAGAAACTCAGGACACCGATTAACGCGGTCCGGCCGAGGTGGACTCGGGCTCCTGAGTCTGGGAAGCTGACTCGAACTTTTGTTTCTATAATAAATATCGCCCTTCACCCACAGTCTCCCTGTTCCCTCCTGGTGCTATAAAGCAGCTGGTGAGTTCTTTAAAACAACCCCTCTGACGCAAACATCCCCATAGGGTGAGGCTCCTCTCTGATGGTCCCCGGATGTCAGCTACTGGAGATGTAGCTAAGATGCAGACACCAGAGAAGTAGCTAAGAGGCCCAGTGTTCTTTCTCTCCACAGAGTGAACTTCTGTGGCGAAGGGTGGAAGCTGCGATGGGCTCAGCTACTGCCAAAGCCCTTCTGTTTGTGACAGGAGCTGGAAAGGCCCTGTTGTTTTCAGTTACAGGGGACTAGCTTCCTTGAAGTCTTCCTCAAGAGAGACCAACTCTGGGGCTTTCCTCAGAGGCTTCATCAGTGAGGGGAGCGGCGCCCGGCTCTGCACTGTTGAGACAGCAGTGTCGCTGACAAGCACATCTTCCCCACCCTTCCTCACCCGGCTCAGCCCTGGAGAATCCACCCGGGGAACTGGCCCAGCTGGTGCGGCCTCTAATGAGTGGTTGGATCATGAGGAGGTGGACTTGGCAGGGAGGGGGTGGGAGCCCCGGAGGGTTAATTGCTCACATAGCTCCCAGCTGACTCGCCTCACCTGTAGGGCACCCCCTCCACCCCTTGTCTTCCAGTTCACCCTTGAGAACCCCAACACTCAAAACCGGGCCTGCTCCTCAGCCTGGAGGTTCACAGAAACCTCCGCTTCTTGGGGCCATCCTGCCAACCGTGGCCTCTTTGACAGCAGGGTTTCCTGCTGGGATCGTGACTCTCCAGAAAAACTTTTCTGTTGTCTCCCCGCACCTCATCCCCGGCCACAGCCTCAGACCATCTTCTCCCCCTTTCAAGATGGCGGCCCAGCAGAACTACCTCGTGTCTAGGAGGGCTCCCTGGCTTCAGGTTGGTTACTGGGCAGGTCTGTGACCCTACAGGAGGGCGGTAGCCCCCCACCTTCTAGCTTGCTCAGTTCCAGCCTAGAGGAGGGGGATCGCTGGGGACACTCATGGGGCCACATAGAGGGAGAACGCTGCTCAGGGCTAGCCGCGGAGGACCTAGGCCCCAGCCTCTCCTCATGCCAAAGCCCCCACTGGCAAGGGACGGAGAGGGTGGAGACAAAGCCCTCAAGCTCCGGCCTGGACCCATCCTCTCCGAGCCTAGGACCTCCTTTGGAGCCTCATTATTCCGGGTCTGCAGCGGGACCCTCTGTCCCCTCCCAAGCCAAGGCCAGCAGGGCTCGGCCTAAACGCTGAGCCTTGCTCCCGCGTGCTCTGCGTGCTGCTGCTCATGCCTGCTTCCTCACCAGCAGCACCCAGGGCAGGATGGCAGCCACCACAGCCACTACGGCGATGAGGGTGATGAGCAGGAGGGCCCGCGAGCGGCAGCAGAAGGAGCGGCTGGCGCTGGGCGCCGGGGACGCCTCCGACAGCTCCGCCAGGCTGCGCCGGGGCAGCACGCTGTCCTGCTCCCCCAGCGGCATCCCGTGGCGGCTGATGATGAAGATCTGTGACTCTCGGGGCAGGGCGGGCAGCAGGTCCAGAGGGAGCTGAGCCCCCTGGCCGGGCGACTGTCTCCAGACCGGCTGGGAGACAGCCAGGGGGTTTGCGTGGCCCCCGCGGTCCGGGGAGGCCACCGAGGGCAGGCCCACGGGCACAGCCAGGGTCTGCGAGCTCTTGTCCAGCACGGAGGGCCAGCGGGAGCTCTTCTTGCTGAGGAAGGTGACGTAGCGGCAGATGGGGCAGACGATCATCCGCTGCACCTGCCCGTCCACCCGCGTGCAGAGCAGGTACTTGACCAGGCAGTCGTGGCAGAACACGTGGCCGCAGCTCAGGGTCCGGCTGGCGCCCTCCAGGTCTCGGAACTTCTCGTAGCACACCGGGCACTCGCTGCCCGAGCTGTCCTTACTTTCGCCTTCTGACATGGCCCCTCAGAGCTAGCAGGCCTTACCTGGGGACGGCAGAGTGCAGGGCTGTGAGCATCTCGGCGTTTTTCCTTCTCTCCCTGTTCTTCCCTGACTCCCACTCACACCACACGGCCACCTGTCCTCTCTCCGCCTCTCCTTCCTCCTACCCTTTCCCCTTCTGGCTCTCCTCAGAGGCCGACCTGGTTCAAACTAAGATGGAAAGCCTAGGACCCAGAGAGGAGCTGCAAGGCTCTCCCAGGCCGGCATCAGGAAATGGGTAAGAGATCCCAACAGTGCGAGGCTTGGGTAGGAAGTGTGTGGAGTGGGTCGGTTACCTGAGGCTCCTGGTGCCTCACCACAGCTATGACAAACACTGTTGATGTCACCGCCTCACCTCTTCCTGCTTCAGTGCTGGCCTGGGCTCGCAGGGCCAACAGGAGCGAAGGAGGTATGTGGCCAGACATAGGCAGCCCTGGTCAGTGTCTAGCTCAGGTCTACTGTATACTGCACAGACCATTCTGCAAACCTCCCCTCTCAGCAGGGCTTGGCTGATCTGTGGCCGAGCCAGGCAGGATCCCATGCCTCATGTCAACACGTCCAAGACTCTGTTCCCAGTGGCAGCCATAACTATAAAGTAATTTAAAAATAAATAAATAAAGCTTGGAACTTACCTATGCAAATGCCTGCTGGGTTCTGAGTAGTCACACACCAGCCATGTTCAAGCATCCTTAGAGTCTCCTTATGTGGTGGCCGAGCCTGTCAGAAGGATCTGATTCACCTCAGTAAAAGCAGGCTTTCATTCTGGGAGGATGCGCCTGGTATTTTTGGAATGGACAAAGCCACTGAGATCCGAGTCTGGTGAGAAACCAGATGAGTGGTCAAAGTCCTAATATTGTTTAAAATCAAAGCTGTGGGTGCCTGAAGCCCACAGCGGGGTTCAAACTGATCTGAGAGGGCCAGGCCATTCTCTCACAGGACTGCGGATGACCTTGAAGGAAACACTGGCTTGGATGACTGGCGAGGCCACGCCTTTTTGTGCACACGTCTCCAGAATCACAACTGTGTAGCCTAAACTTACCCAGAATAACCAAAATCCCCACAGTTGATATATGGTGGATGACAGAGACCAAGGACCCCAAGATCCATTGGGGACTGCAGAGCTGCCGTGAGAGCTGGCAGGTAAGGTGGCAGGAGCAGGATCAGCTACCAGGAGGAGGAATCTAGTAAGATCACAGATCTCTTGGAACCACCCCCACTCCCCTCTTGTTTAGTCAAAAATCCCCTTTGCTGAGTTGAAAATGTCCTAACATTAAAAAATTTTAAAAGGTGATGATGGGACACAGGACCATGGCAGCAGCCCAAAACCTCTGTGGAGGTTTCTTTGGTGTCTGTCTGATGTGACTAATGCGGCCTCCAAGCTCGGAGATGCGGGCCTCAGGTGGTAGAACTGTGCTGAATACCTTATCTGTGTATCCATATCTGCAGCAGCCATTGCTGCCTTGGAGAAGCTGTTTCGCCCTCTAAGCCTCTGTAGAAGGAGACTGAGAGCTGGTCCATGCCTCTCTACAGTGAGTTCCTGGACAGCCCGGGCTACATAGTGAGGCCCTGTCTCAACAAAACAAACGAAAAAGAGGAGGTTGTCAATAGTACTATGTCCCAGAACTGGTGGTGGCGTTAGTGACCGAGTGGACACGGCGAGTGCCCGGTAACAAGGACATCACTGTCGAGGCAGGCTAAATCTTTTCCTGTCTTTGCTCCTGGAGGGGACTTGGAGATCCCCGTCAGGCATGTTGTCTACAGAGTCGCGCCTGTAGCTAAAGGGAGCTCTTCTCAAATTAGAGTAACCAGGCAGGGTGACGTTAGATTAGGAAAACGACAGGCGCTGGATTGGGACAGCTACCAAATTCTCAGCTTTGTTTTCTAACAGACCAGCAAAATCTTAACCGAATGGGCTGCTACCGGGATTTTTTAAGACAACCAACAACTAAACTGTTCCTCTGCATTGTGCAGCTCCCCAAGAGACGCAGTGGCAATTCCTTCCATCCATCCACTCATCCGTCTGTCCGTCCATCAGATTTCGGCAGCTATTTGCTGGATACTGAGATTGTCCACTAGGGGTAAAGGGTAGTCGTAGAATCCTTCCTGAAGCCTAATGGACATTTATGAGCTTTCTTTTTCTTTTTCTGCTGTTTCTTGGAGACAGGCTCTCATGTAGCCCAGGTTGGCCTGGAACCGGGCTATATATGTATGAGTGACATGAACACTTAGTCCTCCTTCCTCTACTCACCGCATGCTGGGGTACAGGCTTGCGCCACCATGCTTGGACACAGGTTTTTGTTTTGTTTTTAAATAGATTTATTTTAAAGGAGAATTGATGACCAAGAGCATAAGCCATCTGGATAACTGAGAAATGACACTTCAGGCGGGCGGGAAAACAAGTGCAAATGAAGAAAACAGGGCTTCCCCATAGTTTAGTCAGCATTTCTAGCTTTATAAATGAGTATATCAGGCTTTAGAGGTGTGTGTGTGTGTGTGTGTGTGTGTGTGTGTGTGTGACTCAAGGTCACCTGGCTGTGATGGAAAGAGAAGAGGAGAGAGATTCCATGGATGATGCCGAGAGCATGATTAGGCCGTGTTGATGGACTGGGCTGAGCAGGGGAGGAGCTTTTCTCCTGCTCTGGGTTCTAGGAAGAGTCAAAAGGCAGTCCAGGGAGTGTCAGACACCTGGGTCACTCAGCAGAACCTCTCCTGGTGCCTCAGGAGAGCCGTACCATTCGCACCATTCGTGTTAGTGTTAGGGCAACACGCGCCCCACCTTCTCACCTCCTTTTCTCCGGGTCTTCCTGACCCCTCCTTTCTCTCCACTCTGCTGAGTGCCTCTAGGGGGCCTGACTCTGTCTTGGGATCTGGGGTGTGGGAGCCCAGCGGACAGAACCCTGGGAGCGTGCTGTAGCCGGGGCACAGTCTGGACAAGTAACGCTGCAAAGCATTCTATACCAAAGATGTTCACATTGGTGCCCTTAGGGAACCGGGGGAGAGGAGGGCTGGGAGGCCTTCCCTGCTAAAGTGAGACCAGTGTTGCGCTAATAATAAATAATTATAACAGCGGCCGTTTATTGAGCACTAATTACATGTTTGGCATTTCAAATCCCTTCCTCACCAGATCCTGACAAGTCAGGGAGGTGAATATTATCTCCATTTTACAGACGAGGGACCCGAGGCTTAGGGCTTAAGTAGAGTAACTTTGTCCAAGTCATAATGCCAGTATAGGGATGACCTAGGACTCGAACTCAGGACATCCTTGCTTGACAGCCCACAATAGCTTTACTTGGGTTCAGATGGGCCTCCATAGAGATGCTTTCAGGCTTTAGTGAAAGGAGTAGATGGTACAGCCCCAGCAGAAAAGAGACTACATCGGTTTCTCAAGTGCTCCTAAATAGGGCTGTCCCTCTGTCCGTTTATGAATCGAGAAGACAGCGGGTAGCTGAATGGAGCCAACCTCACGAAGCTCCTGGACCCATGATCCTTCACAGGAGCATCATATCTCCAGGACAGGGATGAGGAACAGATGCCACCCACCCAAGGCTCCCCTGACCCCACAAGACAGAGTACTGCATCTGAACCCCTGGGGTTCCCTCCCAGAGCCCTAGTGCAAGCTGGGCAGCTTCAGCCACAGCTGCCTCCCCACCCACAAGCAGTACACTCATCTGCTTCCTTTCTCCTTCCTGTCCCATCACTCCCAGCTTCAGCTCACAGCATCGCCCCAGCCCTTCCCGACCCCAGCCAGCAGCCCCTCCCCCACACAAACTTTGGCTGGTACCTGAGAGAGAGGGGTGTCAGTCTTCTCGGCCCAGGGCCTCCACAGAGCCGATGGGAGCCGCCCAGAGGTGCTGGGGCTGACAGCTGCTGTCACTGTACCAGCTGTGGAGGCATTTCCTAATGACTGAGCAGGTTCGGAGGACAGCGCAGGGAAGTGAATGCTGCCCAACCCGTTTGAGGCCAGGAGGCTCACGGTGCTGCCCAGGGGTTGGGCAGCTGCTTGCATCAGGTGATCCCAGCCAGGATGTGAGCTGAGGAGCCCTGGCCTGAATCAGAAGGTCCCACTACAAAAGCGTAACCCGGGGCCCCTTTGACTGAGGCTCACCTGGCCATGGGCTTCCTTGTCCACCCTTGGGAAAATTACACATAGGGACCCCACCTCTGCCCCACGCAGAGGAAAGGGGCCAATAGGTCAGACCCTAAGTAGGCTGGGACACTCAAAGTCCTGCGAGAAGTTTGGTGTGCCATGCCCATGTGCCCACCGTTTTTCATCAAATAGATGGGCTTCGTGTGCCAACGGGCCAACCACTACCAGTATGAACAGCCATGGTTGGTTTGGGGAATGACTTTGAATGTTCTAAAGTACACTTGGACAACTATCACTGGCCCCATTAGTTATGTATTTCAAAATAGCTAGTACAGGATTTTGAATGTTCTCCCACAGAGAAATGGTTTATCATTTATATATGAGTTTATGGACAGGCCAGCTGAGCTGGTGTGATCATTAAAGATTGTATGCATGTTGAAATGCCGTGCTCCACACTCCTACATGAGCACAATAATACATTAATTAAAGAGTTAAAAATTAGCTGGCGCACTGGCGCACACCAGTAATCCCAGCACTCGGGGAGACAGAGGCAGGCAGATTTCTGTGAGTTCAAGGACAGCCTGGTCTTCAAAGTGAATCCAGGACAGCCAGGGCTACACAGAGAAACCCTGTCTGGAAAAACCACACACAAAGAAATAATAAAAGTAGAAAAGTATTGAAATAATATTGGGGGCCCAGGGATGTCCATACTTTGGTTGCACCTGCTCAGAAGGCAGAGCCGGAAGCTCAGGATGAGCCGGGAGGTGGTGGTGCACGCCTTTAATCCCAGCTCCGGGGAGGCAGAATTTGATGCCAGACTGATCCACATAGTGAGCTCCAGGACAGCCAGGGCAACACACAGAAACCCTGTTTGGAAGCTTGCGTGCTCTAA